CGTACTTAAGTTAATTATGTCAAGACGTTTAATTAGGCCAGGGTTTACATAATTGGGAATAATATGGTCACAAAGTGGTACATTGTTGATGATTCTTACAGCTTTGTTTTGTAGCTTTACCAACTGAGACAATGGCACTAAATATCACTTATTTACCAAAGGGTAGATAATAATTCACATAAAGTCTAGAGAACATCACGTTTTCTGGATCAGTCAGATAAATTTACGTCTGTTTTCAAAAATATATATGATCAAATATTGATTTCAATCGCTCTGCCATCGAGTGATTGTTCAGATGGATTTCATGTAATTTAAAAAGAAGCATTTGACCTCAGTCTGGTTGCCATAGATAGCTGCTGGCAAAATATTATTTCTTTAAAGGTGAACAGCTGACTGTTTCATCGTTGCATAGAAATTTTACGAATAAATATGCCTTGAAAACTCAGAATATCCGATGAAAAGTCTTGCTTATTTGTTTACCATTGTTGAATAGTTTTTTCTCTTTTTCATTGTTGCCTCAGCCGTAGATGACCAAAGGAAAATAGTTCTTAAATATGCCTCTCCTTCCCATTTATCCGTATACTTTCCTGGCAGTTCGAGTTGGCTTCATTTGCATGTTCTAGCAGGCAGTTACGCGTAATAGAAATGTTTAGTATGCTTATATGTGCCCAACTTGAACGAGTAGCATCCCGATGAAAATGCAAATAAATTAAAGTTTTCTCGGGTCCTGTGGTTTTTTTTATAAAAAATTTCGAGCGGAACCGGGGAAAGGTACTATGCTCTTTGAGTTTCAGCTTCTGAAATAACAATATGCAAGATTACCTTCTTAAAACTCAGAAAAGTGCAAGGGTCTTCCCTATTCTGAGTACTTCATCCCATCCAAGAAAGTCGAAGAAGGATCAGAAAGGTCGAGAAGCAAACTTCCTTCGAGCATTACACTGATGCAGCTGCATAAAAACAATTAGTGGCTGTTTGCTAGTTTGTGGAGCAATCGTCGAACGTTACTATGATCTAGCTATCGGCTCATTATCTACTTTCGCTTTCAACTTCCGTCTCAGATAGGCCTCTGTTGTTGAAGATAGATAACTCTTTTGCAGTAAATTTGTCGACCACTACTTTTTGTATACATAATTTTGCTGACCTAACAACAAAGCGTTATCAAGCATAATTAAATGTGTTGAAACGAGAAAGTGAGAATACTTCCGCTTCCTACCCGAAC